CTTTAAAAATTTCAATATCATATCAATAGCTAACATGTACAGAGCATGGTGTGCATGATCATCGAGGATGAGAAAACCTGTTATAAGCTTTAAGTTTGCTTCTTACATCTGAGCTATCATTAGTGGAGACTGTATCGAAAGTACCTTACTGCTCAATTGCTCCTTATTAAGCCAAAACTGTTTTTCAGGGACTCCTAACACTGGATTCAATAATCTATAAACCATATGGCTCAATTACTGACCTCCAGTGGGAAAAACTGCCCTTGAAATCCTTTAGCCCTGATAGACAACAGCAGGATGTATTTGGATATCCATTTTATGTGACCATTTATGTAGCTGTTAAATTGCATCCTAAATTATTATTTTTCTTAGAGCTTTATTTTCAGAAATGCTCGATTTAACCACATACTCAAATTTAATATATTTTCATCATTGATTTTATCATATTACCCACTTTTCCATCTTATACATTTGCCGGTAACAAAGGCGCTGCCTGAGGGGAGAAAAAAGAGCAATTTGGGGCGGAATGGGCTGGGGGTGGTGGTGTCCAGTGTGGGGAAGAAGGAGACTGAATGGGAGCAGAGAGAATGAAAACCAAGTGGCGAATGACTATGTCATAACCATCAGAAAGGCTAGAGCAATGAGGCAAAGAAACAGAACAGCAGATATATGAGATAAATAATAAATAAATCCAGAGTGCAAAATAAAAAGTCCTCCATAAAGACACCAAATTACAGCATGTCCCCTTTCTCAGAACATAACCTTTTATTTTGTTTTATTTTTTTTTTATGTTTTTTTTATTTATTTATTCATGAGAGTCAGAGAGAGAGAGAGAGGGAGAAGCAGAGGGAGAAGCAGGCTCACCACAGAGCAGGGAGCCCGATGCGGGACTCGATCCCAGGACCCCGGGATCATGACCTGAGCCGAAGGCAGACGCTTAACCATCTGAGCCACCCAGGCGCCCCTATAACCTTTTATTTTGGCCCATATAATAAATAGGCAGTAAATGCCAATAGGAGCTTTCACTTTTGGGGATGTGTTGCACAGAAGCTTTTCAGATTACATAGATTGAGAGCAGATAAACGGTGTGACATAAAAATGATGAACTTTTGTAATCAGTTTATTTTGCTGTTGCAGTATGTGCAGTGGCTAGAGAATACAGCCTAATTGCACCATGAAGGTCAGGTCCAAATATACGGGATAGTCCAAACTGGCAAACGTTCAGAGAATATTTTCACTGCCCACCAATATATCATACGTGGAAGTTGACACATGAAAATGGAGAAAGACAAAATTCATATATCTGATGGACAGAGGCAAGAAAGACTAAAATTAAAAGCTATGCTGTAATTTGTCTATTTCCTAGGGATGGGAAGAGTCATTTACACACACACACACACATTTATTGAGCACCTACTATATGCCAGATTCTTTTCGAAGTGCTTGGGACAGATCAGGGAACAAAACAAAGATCTCTATCTTTGTGGTGCTTACATGCTAGTAGAAGAATAGAAGGAGAGAGACAATAAACAAGAAACATAATAATTAAGTAAATTAACAGAGTGGCAGGAGGTGATAAGGTGCCATTTGGTAAACAGAAAAAATAAAGTGGTGCTAGGGAGTGTATCAGGAGTGTGGGAGTGTGGCAGTGGGTGTGATGGCTTGTTATGGTACTAAATAGTGGTCCCAGCAGGCCTTCTTGAGAAGGTGGCATTTGAGAAAGGCTTCAAAGAGTTAAGAGGTGAGCCATGCAGATACCTGGGGGAAGAACATTCCAGGCAGAGCCTCATAATCTGTGCAAAGACCATGAGGTGGGACCTGCCTAGCATGGTCAAGGAACAGCAGAGCTGGGGTGCCTGGGTGACTCAGTTGGTTAAGCATCTGCCTTCGGCTCAGGTCATGATCTCAGGGTTCTGGGATCAAGCCCCACATCAGGCTCCCTGCTCAGCAGGGAGTCTGCTTCTTCCTTTCCCTCTGCCCCTCCCCACAGCTCATGCTTTCTCTCTCTCTCTCTCAAATAAATAAATAAAATATTTAAAAAAAATTAAAAAGGAACAGCAGAGCCCAGTGGAGTTGTAGCCAAGTGAGTGAGGGGGAAAGGGGTAACAAGGGGTGGATTTCACAGGATTTTGTCCCCCATTTCTCTTCTTACCCTTTCTTCCAAATTCATATACACAGTGGTTTCTGGAAAAGCAGACTCTGTGCTGATAACCATGCAGAGCAAGCTGGGACTGTGGTGAGGCAAGGGAGGGGTCTAAGTGTAAAAGGTAAAGAGACACTCATCCTTGGGTACCAACTCCGCATGTACATGACACCAAGAGCAAGTGCCTCCTTAAATTTTGCATGTGAGGTGCCGCACTAAGCTTCACCTCAGTCCTAGTCTTGATGCAGAGAATACCTACTCTCTGTATTTGTCCACAAAACAGATTGACATTTCTATTATCCACAGCCATCCTAGTCTACCACCACCACCACCCACCTACATCTTTGCAAGAATAATCCATCCTGCAAATGCGCATTAGCAAGAAGCATGGCTGGACAAACCAACCATTGGAGAGATGAGTTTCCTGCTCCCTTTGGCCACCCCCCACCCTCCACTGGCAGGCAGAGAAAGGAAGCAGTATTCTGGGCTAGATTTAGTCTTCTAGCTTCTACATCTGTCCACAAATGTGTGGATGTGGTGAAGTTACGCTTCCCCAGCCCAGGAAGAGATGTCCAATCAGCCTATGACTCTGGGATCACAGATGTGACTAAAGAACCGACTGTATAGACAAGTGTCCAGGGAGAGTCACTCTAAGCTGACTTGGTGGCTGAGATCAAGAAGGCAACGCTCCACATAAAATAAGTATGTCTTAGAATGCGCCTGGTGTTTATCTCTCCACCTACCCCTCCCTTGCCGCACCCCAGAACTCAAAGAACCTTGAGGATTATAAATTTTCAAGAATATATAATTGCGGGACGCCTGGGTGGCCCAGTCAGTTAAGCGGCTGCCTTTGGCTCAGGTCATGGTCTCCGGGTCCTGAGATTGAGCCCTGTGTGGTGCTTCCCGCCCAGTGGAGGGTCTGCTTCTCTCTCTTTCTCCCTCTGCCCTTCCCCACTACTGGTTCCCTCTCTCTCTCTCTCTCTCAAATAAATATATAAATAAAATCTTAAAAAAGAAAAGAATGTATAATTGCTCCCCATATGGACTCTGAGGGAACCATGAGCAGGGGATGGGAGGGCCCTCCTGGTACTGGGTCAATTCACAAGGCCTTCAGTCCCTTAGTGCAGTAATGCTCCATCAGGATGTGGTATCTCCTTTCCCAGGATTATCTCCACCCATCAACAGCCAGATGAGCCCAAACTGCACTCTCTCCACACCAGGGTCATCTGTGCCCTACCTTTTCTTAAAGAGCCCAGCGAGGTTAGGGGTTGGTATCTTAGAGAGCTGACAAAGGACAATGGCAGGAGCTGGGAGGGTAGGGGACTATGGAAATGAAACAAAAACCCATTGATTTTTCCATTAAAGAAAACCAAAAGAACTTGAGTGCTCCCTTTCAGGAATAGATATAAATGTAAGGGTTTGATCGAGATTAAGGTCACCTTTCATATTAAACTTTGTTGTAAAATTTAGTGAAGGGTGCTATATATCTCTGATTACTGTGTTGTAGCCTAAGTTTAAGAAATCATGAAAAGTCAAATTCCCTAGACACAACATAGTGAACATATTTTAAGGTGCTAATGATATCAATTCTGAACGCATTTTTATTACTGTCAAATATGGTACCTTTGATCAGGAAATCCATTTATCTCAACTGAAATCTGGCTGTCCCTTGACAATCTTGCTTCTCTTTTGATGCTCTCTCGAGTGATAGCTGTTTATTTTCTCACATCCCAGGTGCCTTGGGGCCAAAAACTGGGGAGGGTTTTGTTTTTTTTTTCCCAATGTTATTTTTGAGTTCCTAGTTCTCATAAGGCACTCCAACCAGATTTTACCACTTCCTCTCTTGTGCCATTTACTGAGCTCCCCCCCATTCAGCAAGGACTTTGGCAAGTGCCTCACTGTCTTCATCCAAAGCTTTGTCAACAATCTTGAGGACATTAATATATAATTCATCCAACATTCTGGTCTCTCAGCACTCTGACCACCCCATTTTCAATGGCCTTGTTCCTCCCTCTACCTTAGCTATCCACATACTTGGACTGTTTCCTTGGTTGCTTAGGGCAAGAGTTAGTGACCCAGAGCCAGTTCTGTCCTGAGACCCAGGTGACACAGGTAATGGGGCTCATGCCTTGGGATTTGTGCTCTAGAGGTTGTCCTCTGGCCCTTCTTTTCTGGTTTACTTCCAGACAGGTGAGAAGCCTGAGTCAGTAAAAAACACATTTCCCCTATAGCCCATATATCCTCTTCCTAGATTTTTCTCTGGGTCCCTAGAGCCCCAGATTTCCCCCACCCAAATGATTCCAAGCTCCTGGGGATGGCTCTTTTCAGGGGATGTGAACATAACTTGGATATTTGGGCGTCTGTGTCCATATGCATGAATGTTAGGCCCTTTATGATGTAGGATGGAGCCTTGTGTAGAAAGAGAAAGGAGATGACCAAACATATCCTCATTCCTGGCTAATAAGAATGACTGAAGCTCCTTATCAATTACAGTTTTAATCTTACCTCCTAGATAGGATTTATTAAGATACCTAGTCACAGGATTATTTCTGCTTATTGATAGTACCCAATCTATAGCAAAACCTTACTTTCTTGAACCCTCCCCCAAATCACCTGATATAAGCCCAAATCCTGTAAGTCCTCTCTAAGGCACTTTTCCTGAAACACCACAGCTCCCTACGACATGATGTTAATTACCCACAAATACACTACTAAATTTTAGCCTCTGAAATTGCAAAGATGATTAATAGCTTATGGACTTAATTATAACCACTGGGACTTTCTACCTTAGGAGGCTTTACCTAAAAGGGTTCAGGTCTCCCTGGTTTCTTCTGTTAGCAATATTCATTCACTCTACCTTGAAGGATATTTCGGTTGTCATGGTGAACCCATGGGTGATGACTGGTTCCTCTTCAGCAGTCCGTCCCTTCCAGCAGTCCAACTCCACACAGCGACAACCAGACAGGAGCACTTGGCGATACATCTCGACAGAGGAGTTTCCAGCCAACTGGCCAGCTGTAAAACACCAACAAAATGATCCTTAGAATCCTACAAAGCGAGGAAGACATTGGTGGCTTCCTAAAAAATCTTTTCAACAATGGGAAAATAAAGAGTTCAGGAACTTGTGTAGTTGGTCTCAACCATCTGCCTCAACATACCAGAAGTTAGTGGCATAATCCCAAATCTAATTGTGGCTGCCTAGCAGTAGTTTTAGGGAAGAGAAAAGTAGAAGAAAAAGAGCATTGTAACAATAATAATAACTTATGTTTCCTAACTGCTTACCCTGTGCCAACTATAGTTCTTCTAACTTTACATGTATTACTACATTTAATCTTCGTAAAAACCTCTCTTGTGTAACTACCTTTATTTTTTAAATATTTATTTTCAGATAATGAAAATGGCAGAGAACAGCTCCATGTGCCCAAGTTTCCAAAGCTGGTAAGTGGAAGTTCCAGGATTATAACTCAAAACTCAGTCTTTTAGTCTGAGTCTTTAAGGCTATTCTGTTATAGATCAACCATACTGTCATGTTTGTCCAAGGCACAAATGCTTAGAAAAGTTAAACATTCTCTTTTCAAAAGTGGAATATATTTGTAGGAATAAATTTAAATGTAACAAAAAAAGTGATAAACATATTATCTAATAAATATAAGCAGGGTTAAAAAAATTAAAGAAGACCTAAATAAATGGAAAGACAAACCATGTTCATGGAACAGAAGACAACATTGCTAAGATAGCACTGCTGCCCAAACTTATTTGCAAGTTCAATTCTTATTGAGCTCCTAGTTGGCTTTTTAACGGAAATTAACAAGCTGATTCTAAAATTCCTACAGAAATGTAAAGGACCCCAAATGGCCAAAACAACCTTGAAAAATGAGAACAAAGTTGGAAGACATACATTTCCCGATTTCAAAACTTAACTACAAAACTACAAGACAGTGTGTTACTGGCACAAGGACAGACATATAGATCAATGGAATAAAACTGAGAGTACAGAAATAAACCTTCACATTTATCATCAGTTGACTTACAACAAAGGTGCCAAGACAATTCATTGCAGAAAGCATCATATTTTCAACAAATGGTGCTAGGACAACTGGATAGCCACATGCAAAATAATGAAGTTCGATCCCCATCTCACATCATAAACAAAAAAAGTTAACTCAAAATGGATTAAGCTCCCAAATATAAGACATAAAACTATGAAACTCTTAGAAGAAAACATAGGGGTAAATCTTTGTGACCTGGATTAGGCAATGGTTTTGTAGATATGACACCAAAAACAAGCAACAGAGAAAAAAATATATAGATATACTTCCTCAAAATTTAAAAACTTTGTGAACAGAACTGAAATCCTCTAGTAAAGTGGTAAGAATTGCAATAATCAAGGCACTTGTGAAGTCTGAGGGCAGGAATGGAAGCCAAACTATTCCTCTATTCCTATTTCATTTAAGTAGTTATTGGAAGGTACTCACTTCTTGAGAAGTTATTTTTTAAAGATTAATAATAAATAACTTTCAAGACAGGCCCACCATCAACACACAAATGGAAGTTTTTGGTTTTTCACATTAAAGATTTCTCTGATTTCTACTCTATCATTAAGTCTCCATCATTCTTTAAATAGTTTAAAAAATGACATACTGATGAAAACTGTCAAAATGACTTTGAAATAGACAAGGTCTGCCTGGTGGAGACATACAGGACAAAGAAAATGGGATTAAGCCTGTTGGCTTAATTTTATTTTTATATGCACGTCACAACACCCAAACATTGGCATTACAAAAGGATGACATTCTTGAGTTTTACAGAGCTCTAGTAAAAGCATGAAAGGCTGATTAAGTAGGTTTTCATAATCACTTGTCTCTGCCGAAAAAATAGGGCATTTTAAACACACAAATGTGTTTGCAAAAGAAGAAATGCTGACAAAGTAATCTAGAAAGTTCCTGATGCTAGATAATCAATTTGCCATTTATAATTGCCTCAAAGTTTGTTGTAATAAAGGTTTCTCCTACAGTAGAAAAGGGGGAGGGGACAGTGAGAGTGAGGAGAAAAGGTAGTAATTTATGTGATTTTTAAGCTTAAGGGAGGGCTACTTTAACTAAAGGAAGTGAAGGATTCAAATAATATTTGGTTAACTCATTAAAAATCCTAGCTCCTGCAGAAAATTGTACGTTATTAAAGAGCAGAGCAGATTTTCTTGTGTACTATCTAGAAAATTGTTTAAGTGTATTACTGACTGCACTACCATCAAGATTTCTGGAGTCTATTTCATTAATTGGTGGTTGAGCATTTCTAACTTAAGTAGGGAAGATGCCATGGATTTATAAGCTACATAAAGTTTAATGGTAGAATGAAGTAGATAAATGCCTAATCCACCCTAGAGTTTTCAGTCTTAAAAGATTCAAAAAATTTCTTTGGATTTGCATGCAATTTTTTTTAATCATTCAAAGAATAAGAGGAATTTGATGTCCTTTTTGAATGTTGATCAGTTAATGTTTTTAAAGACACGGTAAGGCATGGGGTTGGGTTTACGAGATGCAAAGCAATTTGAAGAAAAAAACACTAAAAAATGGAAGATGAGAGAGAGAGAGAGTGTGTGTCTATGTTGTGTTTATTGTCCAACACCTAAGCCCAAAAGAATCTTTCCAGAATCAACGGTTGTTCAATTTTAAAATGAATACTCTTTATTAGAAATGGAAGTCTCCCAAAGAAAGAATATTTTAAGAAAACTCACATTTACCCAAAATTGTCCTATTCCTTGGCATGTATGTTAGGTTTCCTGTGTGTTTTCCTTCATTTATGGAGATTTTTTTTTCCCAAATAGGTATTAATATTCTCCATTATTTCCTCCTTTTCTGCATAAATCCTCAAACTTAGTTTATTTTTCTTCCCTAACATTCCTAACTCCTCATTATTATATCCCACCCACCCATTATATTTCCATTTGATTACTTCCAATAAATATAGCTTCTGGGGCCAGGGAATTGCCTGGGGTTGGGATTAATTGGTATGTCGTGAGTCCCTCAACCCTTGTTATTTCTGAAACTAGTATCTGACTTCACCTCTGCCTGGCTGTGAATACGCTCTGGAGTACATTCCAAGTCCATGATTGAACTTGGGAGCCAAAGCTCCATCTCAGATTAATTCATAATACTGACCCAAGTCATAGCTCTGCAACTGCTCACTTGACTGCAATCATTTTGGTCAATTGGCTACATCCAATGTCTTTGTCTAAGATTACCCAAGGCATCCATGGATGGAAGAGACCAGAAATTGAAAGTAACAACCCCTCTATTAACACAGGCTTCTGAGATATTGTCTATATTTACAGTTATCATTATGTATTGTCTTCTTTTCAACCTCCGTGCAAAAAGTTTCCAGAACGTGATGCATTTGTTAATTCAGTGGCCTTCTTCAATAAATAGTAGCTCCTTCAATAAATGGAGATTGGCACTATTTCTCCTTTGCTTTCAATGCTGTGTCAGCTATTCAGGTCACCTAATCCCACAGTTACAGTTGAGGAAACTGTCCAAAATATAAAGGATGTGTTATTCATCTTGACCATTTCTAGGGGCATGAGTTTGACCTGATGTCTCTTCCATAGTATCTGCCAACAACCCCAGGGAGACCATGAAGTTGTCTTCAACATGGATCCAATTGCCATAAGGTGGTTTAGGTGAGAAAGTGGGGAAGCAACTTTCAGCATATGCCTTACTGATTATAGAAGCCTCACCACTAAGGCCTGTGCACATTCCCAAGCATGTCCTCTGTGGGAGGCAAAATACTGGTTCCTGGGGATGCAAAAATGACATGAGACCTATTCCTTACCCTTACCCATCTAGGTAGGTAGGTAAGGACACATAAAGGAGATTCTCTCATGCGCCAGGGAGTTTAAACTCTCACCCAACCTTGCACTTCTGTTTTCCCTTTCTTTCTCTTCTTTCTCTTTCTCCTCACCAATAGAATTCTATTTAGATTCTATTTAGGGGGGGCGGAGCAAGATGGCGGAGGAGTAGGAGACCTAGATTTCGTCTGGTCTCAGGAATTCAGCTGAATAGGGATCAAACCATTCTGAACACCTACGAACTCAACAGGAGATCGAAGAGGAGAGTAGCAACAACTCTCTGAACAGAGAAGCGACCACTTACTGGAAGGTAGGGCATGCGGAGAAGTGAATCCGAGGCGATATTCGGGAGGATAGACGGCGGGGGAGGGGCCTCCGCCGGCCGCTTCTGGCAAGTGCTAGAGCCGCGGAGCACAAAATCGGACCTTTTAGAAGTTGGCTCCGTGGAGGGACGTCGCTCCAGTGGCTAAGCGGGGGGTGGAATCCTCCCGGGACAGTGTGGTCTCAGGACCCTTGGGGTCACAGAGAGACCGGGGGTGCCTGAGTGCGCCAGAGCTCCCAGGTATCAGAGCGGGGAAGCCGGCTGCAGAGACGGAGCCAAGGCGCGGGCTCTCAGCTCGGGGTTGCCATAAACTGTGATCTGCGGCCCAGTCGGGGCACGGCTCCCCCAGCAGGGACCCAACAAGCAGCAGATCCGGGGAGACTCCCCTTCCTTCCTGGGGAGGAGCGGTGCGGGAACGCACTGCAGGGATCTGCTGGGTTTGGAGACTCCGTGGGGGGTCGGGTGCCAGAGATAGCAATGCTCGATCACAGGCCGGGTGAGCACGGAGTGTGGCCGGAGACCGGGGACATGGGAGTGACTGCTTTTCTCTGGGGACACACTGAGGAGCGGGGCCCCGAGTTCTC